GTGTGGCCATCCCGCCTAAACCTGAAGCCCTAAACCCTGAACCCCAAGCCCTATAAACCCTAAAGCCTAACCCTCCTGCGCAGTCCTCCTTTGCTGCTGCTGCTGCTACTGCTGCTGCTCCGGCGACGACGAGTCCAAGAGGCGGAGGCCAGCAAAAACCCAAAAATCACCATCCTGGACCCTACAAGTGCCTGAGAACCCAAAAGGGTTTATGGTTTATTAGGGTTTAGGGTTCAGGGTTTTTCGGTTCAGGGTTTAGGGATTAGGGCTTAGAGTCCAGGACTTTAGGGTTTAGGGTCTGGCAGGCAGTGGTGAGGAGACCTTCTGCAAAAACGGGGTTTAGGGTCTCAAGCCCTGGCCGTGGCATTGCGTGGCAGTTTTCAAGCAGACTGCTTGTCCTTGGGGTTTAGGGTTTAGGGTTTAGGGTTTCGGGTTTCGGGTTTAGGGTTTAGGGTTGGTGTATTCCCGGGCTTCCTCCATCAGCTGAGGCCACACCCTGTCCAGGCTCTCTAAACCCCAACCCTGGCAGTCGAAAACTGTAGAACCTTGAGGACCATATGAACCCTAAAATTGGGGTCATACTCCCGAAACTACTTTAATCCTTGTAAGGCAATACAAACCAAAACTCCATGAAGCAGTTCAAAAAGGTCGAATGGACCGCCCACGGAGACCAACTGAACCCTAAAAGAGTTTAGGAGTTCATATTGCCTGAATGTGAATGATGTTAGCCTAGGGTATATATGACCCCCCAATGTCAGGGTTCAGCTGGCGGACACATGTTTGCACCTCACACTTGTGACGGAGGGGGTTTCGGGTTTAGGGTTTGGGGTTTGCTTGCGCAAAGCTTGTCCTCTTGAAATTTTGAGGGCTGTGTTTTCAGTGCCATCTATCATGTGGGGTCGCTCTCGACAATGAGTGTCGCAGTGCTGAGCACGCGTGCGCCCCTTCAGCCTGGGTTCAAACAGGGTTTTCGGGTGTAGGGTTTAGGTGTTTAGTGTTTAGGGTTTAGGGTTTAGGGTGTCGACGCAAGACAAACACAACCGTAAACCCTAGACACTAAATGCTCCACCTACCGAGCAGCCCATTCCACAAGAGGCGGTCCAGTTCAGACGGGGACCAGCGAATTGAGTGCCTTGCCTTTTTAGGGTTTAGGGTTTAGGGTTGCCTTTGGTTCTCCGGAGACTTGTGCGGAAAACATACGAGGGGACTCCCCTGAAACAAGAAGCAACCAAAGTTTATGCAGGCAGACCTCCTGAGGGCCCCCCAACCCTTACATCGACTGCCGAGGATGCAGGGCTTCGCAGCCCCCGTCGCCAATGCTTACACTCCGCCAGCTGCGCAGCCGGGTAGCCATGAAAACTTGGGGGCTTTGACTATACTCATTTGTATTTGATTTTGATTGATCAATTGATATAACACTATGTATTATTTGGAGTAATTACTGTATTATTATTATCCTTTTTATGTTGTTTATATATTGCAATATATGTTTGGGGGTTATAAGGGCTTACAGACAGTGTGCTTTCCCCGCATGCGCCACGAGGCCTGGAGGTAAAAAAGGTTTATCGGGTTCCCCCAGGTCGCCCCAAACTTATCTGCACGTTATGACTCATGACGCTTTGACCCTGCACCCTTGGCAGCCAACAGCCAAGCTCAGGGTTGCGATGCCCATGGCAGCGCCAGTGGCGGCCGCCGTGCCGGCGATGGCTATGGCAGCGAGCCTTTGTCAGCAAGCGGAGGAGTTTTGCTGTCTGGGTTTAGGTTTCAGGGTTTCGGGGTTGTACTGGACGGCAGATCGAGGCAACCAAGAAAGTCCTCTGGCAAAAGGGTTGAGTGGTAAGTTAGGATTGGCAAGAGGGTTCGGTGTTGTTTTGGCTTTCGGGGGTGCTTACTCGGGAGCTCCGTTCTTCAACACTTTTAGGCCGCTTACAACTTCCTGGTTCTTAGCAGGGCATGAGGGGATGGGTCGGACACCTAAAGCCTTCATTCCCTACCATAGGACCTAGCAGGACCAAAACAAAATCGCGGTAAGGAAAAGCCAACTACCCAGAATTTCTACATGTGCGTGGGACATGTTACTAACAGCCATTGCAATTGATGAGAGGCGGGCGTGTTAACGTGTCAGGGTTTGTAGGCCTTGGGGCCAAAAGAGGGGGTTTAGGGTTTAGGGTGTCCCCATGACCCGGCTAAGGGCCTGGGGACCGGAAAGCGGCCCCTGAAACCTGAAGCCCTGCAACCCAAGAACCCCAAAGACACGAGGATGACTTGTAAGGAACAGAGGCGGCTTGGGTGCGGGTCAGATTCATCAGAGTCATTGCATAGTACATGAACCTCTCCGTATCACTTGACTCCACGATCCCAATACTCCTTGGGAAGGAGAGAGGGGGACCCTCCCATATGTAAAACCCTGGGCTTGGGTCCGGAACACTCCCCACCCCCCCCCACCCCCCCCCAACCCCCCCCCCCCTGGCGCCCCTGTCATTTGTAACTGAAATCATAGCCGACCAAGAGGGCTATAGGGCTTAGCATGGGACCCCTCTCAAACTTGAAATGAGCATTGCAGACCTCAGAGTCTGGACAATCTACGAATGACTACGAGTGGGGAAAAACCTAATGTGAAGAGCTTGGGAACAGTCGGGGGGCAACAAGGACTAGATCGGGAGGTAAGCAGGGGAGGGGTGTGGCGGACCTCCGAAAGCGTAGAGGGTGGGAAGTGAAGAGGAAGCGTGTGGGGCGAGTGGAGAGAGGGAGCAGGGAGAGTGGAGCAAGTCGGGCGGGATTGGGGCTCTTAAATGATGAAGCTAACCTGCAAAACAAAACGGCGGGTTTTGGGGTTCTTAAGAGTTGTGCCCCCTCACCAAAGTCTCGTCAAAGGGCCGCGCCTGCGTATGCCATGCCCGCCGCGGCACCGCCTCTCGGCCAGCGCAGCATACTGAGGTCACGACACCCGAAGCTCTATAAACTCTATAAACACTTCTAGCTTGGCTCAAGATTGGCTCGAAGCCCGCGATACTTGTAGCTTCTACGAGCAAGCCGAAACCGAGCCCGAAGAAACCCAGAACTCTGGGAGGTGAGAGCTTGTTGGAAGTTTTCGGGCATGAATGGACCTGTCGGTAAGCAAACCTGAAGCCCAAGAAACCCAGGAAGCCCAAAGACACGAGGATGACTAAGGAACAAAGGCGGCTTGCGCGCGAGGTGTAAGGACCAGATGAACCCTAAACGGGTTTACGGTTCATATACCTTAATAGTAGTAGGGCAATTATATGAACCGAAATTTTAGGGATCATAAGGTATATGAACCGAAATTTTAGGGTTCATTAGGTCCCCAAGGTATTCATGTCATGGTACCATGAACCTCTCCGTGTCATCTGACTCTAAGATCCCCATACTCCCTTGGTAAGGGGAAGTGGCCATGCTTCCTTTTTCACTTCCTAGCTCTCAACTCTCGTGTCTCCGGAGGTCTGGATTGCACCCCCCCCGGCGCTTGTAATCATAGCTGACCAAAAGGTGGGCTGGGGTCCGGGAGTTATGGCTTAGCATGGGACACCTTTTGGTGAGTGGAGAAAGTGTGTCGGGTGGGACGTGCCCCTCACCAAAATCTTGTCCAAAGGGTCGCGCCTGCGTATGCCATGCCCGCCGCGGCACCGCCTCCCGGCAAGCTCAGCATACTGAGCTCACGACACCCGAAGCTCTAAACTCTATAAACCCTCAAGATTGGCTCGAAGCTCGCGGTAGCCAGGGCCAGCAAGCTTTGATGGAGTACTCTCCCTCCCAGAGGTGTGGCTTTTCTGGGTTCAGGTTCGAGTGTGGAGCATCGGCACAATGCCGAAACCATGCTTTACTGCCTTTCACCCGCACACCCTGAACCATGTGGCCTGCTGTTGCAGACAGAAGCCCGAAACCCGACACCCCGCACCCGAGGTTCCACCGAGGTTTGAGGGTTTTGACTTCGAGTTCTTTTGAAGTGAAGGGCATGGCTAACAATATCTAGCAATCATATCGTTCAGTAGTTCGCAACAGGGACCCTGCATGAAAAGAAGCCCGCAGATCCCGCTGCACGGCACCCAATGCCCAGATGTTGATGAGTACCTATGTGGGGGATGGGGGATGGGGGGGGGGGGGGGGGCGAAGGGATGATTGGGTTTCGGCTTGGCGCAGGTAATTAAACAACGCTTCAGCTACCAACGTGTCGCAATGTGTTGCGAGGTTCCAGGCTGCCCAGATACCACCAGCTTCTTGGGCTAGAACCGGGAACAGGGGAGCAGCTGTCGAAGTACACCTAGGTTTCGAGGGTTTGGGCAGAAGCCCACCGCAGACCAGAACTCTGGGGTATGTTCTCAAAAGTTTCTCACTTGGGTTCTGATTTTGTTTTCCCATGCCTCGGACGGCATTTCAGGGTCTTCCAAGGGTGCCGATTCAGCAGGGGGGGCGCCTCAATCTTGTCGTACAGAGGCCCTGCATGCAAAAAAGCAAGCAAGCAGCAAAAGACAGTACACGGTTTCTCTCCTTGGGAGGGGGGGGGGTCCGAGTTTCATGTGAACCCCGACATGATATAAATTGAGATCCTCTACGCATGCGCATACCACGAGGTATCTGGGCGTTGTTCATCTAGTCAGTTGTGTAGCTGTGTCCGCCAATCGGGCGCCCGAAGTTTGCCCAAGGCTGACTCAGACTGGCCCGGGCCCTGCTGACTACAACACCGGGCAGCAGAAGCAAGTTCCATCAACTGGTATTGTGCGGTTTTCCCCGCATCCAAACACCCCAAAGCCCTCAAACCTCAAGCCCTGGTTGCCCAGTGGTACCCTTTTTACACTTGTTTTTGGATCTGGGTTCCCTTATAAAGTAACCAACCCATAAAAAAGGTGCCCGTATTACAATAATGGTTACGGAACTACCTGAAGAAGCTGACACCCTTTGGCCCCACTGTTACCCTAAACCCTAAACCCTAAACCCTAAACCCGCCATTGAAGGTAGCGAAGACCTGCCCCCAGATGCATCCGATGGGCCCCGCCATCGCGCAGCCAGGGCACTCCAGCAGAATTTCCATTCCAAGGGCTGCGGGTTTAGGGTTTAGAGTTTAGGGTTTAGGGTTTAGGGTTTCCTGTTTAGGGCTTAGGGCTTGGGGACCTGTAATTTCTCAGAACAGCTCTTTCCTAAAGCTGCCCCAGGATGCTCGAGCCTCAGTCAGCAGTGCTGAGTGACCCTAAAACTGGGGTCATCTACCCTACACAAAAAATTTCCTGATTAGGAATATCAAGTCGTAAACCCTTCGATAAATTCTACAGGGGTTGGGATGTTGGTATTTGGCCGTGTGCTGTGCGTGTTCAGGGCCATTCGGGCGGTTTGAAAGCCAGGCCCACACTTTTGGTGCTTAAATTTCCTGGCTTGCTCAGAGCTCTAACTCAACCCCCAGCAGAATCTAAACTGCAGCAGGCGAAAGTCCATTTTTCGTTTCTTGCAAAACCGCAGAGCAGAGCACACCACGCCTCCATCATGCATATGTCAAGTAGAAGGTTCGAGGGTTCGTTCGCGGAAGCTCTCGCGCCGGGGCCTTTCGCCTTGGGAATGCGCAGATTTCAGGCGGTTTCTTGACATACCTCGACATAGCTCGAGGATGGAATGTGACAACTGCGAGCGACCACTTCAACCGGGATCGCAGGGTCTCCGGTGCGCGACTCTGCGGCAATCTGCAAGTTTGCAAGGCAAGTTCGGGCTCAGAGTTCTCTGAATTCAAGATGGACTCGGGCTTCCATGCAGCATGCATGGCCCCTGTGTCAGAGAAGCATCAGCACCCCCCCCCCCCCCCCGTTTGCCGCTGGGATGGTAAGCCAGGGATGGCCTCAACTTACCACAGATGACCCTATACTACTATACCTAGAATATCCTAGAATCCCTATTTAGGTATCTGAACCACCCCCAAAGCCCTTTTAGGGTTCATTCGGTCCTCAAAGGCATATTATGCATGGACCGCAACATCCCAGGACCTCTGTGACCACGACCTCTGCGCAGCCTGCGCCCAGCAACCTCAGCTGCGCCAAGCTGCCTTAGCAAACGGCATCCATTGAAAAGGAGTTGTAGCCTCAAGAACCCCAAAACCTACTCGTTTTTTGTAGGTTACCTAAGGATCCTATAAGAGTTTTTAGAGCAATACTACAAAAAGAGTAGGTTCTAGCTAGGCCCGAGAAGAGCGCAGAATTTCCATCCCAGTGGCATCGGGTCAAGGGAGTAAGAAAAGGCACTTTTTTTTTGGTGCCGAGATGCCTTCTCTGACACCAGGGGGGGGGGGGGGGGGTTAGGTGTTGGGATGTTCCCCCTTATACTAACAGTCCTTGGGAGGGTACTAGAATCCCCATGAAGGACTCTTAGTATAAGGGGACATCCCAAGTTAGGTGAGATAATGGGAACAGCCCGGGTCCATCCAGAAGTGGCCTGAACTTGCCAAAGCAGATTTCAGATTGCGGAGTCGTGCCTTCCGTCGGCCCTGCGACCTGTGATTCGCATTCTTCATGTCACGAGGCCTCTTTCGAAGACCTGAGTTGAGAACGCTGCGTAAGAGAAGTCCCAGGGGGTGATGGTGGGTCGGCCCGACTCAACCCTAAACGCTAAACCGTAAACGCCGCAAACCCTACGCGCACTCAGGCTTCGCTTGAGCCCTCCGTCAGGCGCCAGAAACTCTAATAAGTCGGTGTAGCGCAGGAACCTCAAGACTGTTTCATATCAACTCCTTGGAGACCGGATTAGCCCTACAATTGGGGTGATGTACTCCATTCTACAAACAGTTCCAAGTCAGGCATATGAGCCATAAACCCTTTTAGGGTTCATTTTGGACTTGGCACGCAGACAGAATATTAAGCCTTTGGGAGAAGTACAAGCCCAGCAGAAGCCCAAAGGTGAGTCATAAGCCAGAAACCGTAAACCTTACTGGTTAAATATATACACTAGACATTACAACGGCCCAGACTTCGGATCCATCCTTAGAGTGCTTAGCACTCACCTTTAGGGTTTAGGGTTTAGGGTTTTAGGCTTTTTTGGTTTGCTCTTGAAGCAAGCCGGGATTACGATTGGGGAGTTGCCTCAGTGATGTGAAGTGATGCCATAGGAAGACAACACCAGTGCATGTGTGGTTTCGCTTTCTGCACACCCTGCAAGGGAGTTCATGAAAACCGCCCGCCGTCGGACATTTTCGTTCAAGTTCTCCAGCTTCGAAAAAATGTGGGAGTTGCCCATACCTGCCCCAGCCCCTATACCGCGAAGGTCAACAAAACCTTACAACAGGAACCCCCACGTAGCCCCAAATAGGGTGCAACCCTGTTTCAGGAAAGCCCAACATCCCTAATCCCTAAACCGCAAACCCTGATCCCTGTGTCCGACTCTCAGGCAGACAACCTTCTTGGAAAGTCCGTCACCTTCAGGCATAACCTGATAAGCAAACACCACTCGTCTTGGGCTATTCCCGATTTCGGGTTTATAGGGTATGGGGCTTGTGAGCGTGTCACTGCAAGGCATGCAGACCAAGCTCTTGGATGCAACAGGGTTGAAAGTTTCAGGGTGCGTGCATTGTGCTACGCTGCTATCAGCCCTTTTTTTGGGTTGTTTTTGTCTGGATAAGTCCTTCCAGACCCCTTAGGCTCTTCCTAGGTACATGAACGACTGAAGCTGTATGTCCATTCCGAACCTACAGCCGAGCAAAGTTAAACTCTTACGCAGGCCACATGTGGAAGATGCTGCTGTCATCTGCGGCGCCACAAGTGCCTCTTCCGACAGCACCACCCTTGACAGAACCTTAACCTCGGGAGGTTTAGGCTTAAGTTCAAGCACCCTGAAACTCCCCTTCCGTTTTCTCTTGCGGGCTTTTTGTTCTGTCGTGAACCTCATGAATTTCTGCAAGGTGTACGTTCTTTGCGGCAGCCTTCTTCCTGAAAGCTGGCACGAAGCGCAAGACTCCTTTCACTAAGCCTTAAACCTCCAAAGTGAAGCTATTTCAGTATGTCTGCTCGCTCCAAGAAGGAACTGGACGCAGACACCTTCCCTGAAAAATTGGGATCATACCCTATACTACTATGATTCCCATTCGGGTATACAGATCATACACTCTATACTTCTACAATCCCATATAAGCTAGACTGCTTTCAAGGTTATGGATCATCAAGCTCTTCGAGAATATTCGAGCCATATACCCTTAAGTCCATCTTGTCCCTACAATCAAAGAGTCCTGTGATACATCCCAAAACCCCCTGCAGCCTCCCAAACCACCCTAAACCCCAAACCCCAAACCCCAAACCCCAAACCCCAAACCCTAAACCCTAAACCCTAAACCCTAAACCCTAAACCCTAAACCTCTGTGAGGATGTCTCCAAGATCCATGTGGCATGCAATTCGCATGAGAATGCGATAGCTGGCATCGGAAACAGGCATTACGCAGAAAAGTATGCCGAATTCGAATACAAGTCAGTCGCATTCAAAAACCAAATTGGTAATCCATGCGAACTTATCAGGCGCGCCGTCCATGCTGTGATAAGCCGTGTCATACCAGCGATATTGGACATTGATGAAGAGAAGATTAAAAGGTGTGACACAGAGGTGATGGACATCCCACAAAGTGAAATCGTCTCGGAACTTCACGGGAAGTCAATATTTCCCATCCACAAGATCATCGACGATATAGCACCGGGAAGCTTCACAGAACAAATGAAAAAGGACAACTACGAGGCGGCGTCAGGAACTGAACTGCCGAAATTTCCTCCGTCCAAAGCGTTCGTGAAGCCGAATGAGGCACTCGGAAAAATCAAGCCTCGGTTGATACAGCATACAGGTCCGCAAGGCACCGCGGCCTCATCGCTGATGAACAAAACAATCGAGCAAATGTTTTTCCGATTACCTTACTTCGTCCACCGGAGTATAAAGGGGACCGACAACAGCGGGGTCTCCGAGCGGATCCGCCAATTCTTCAATGACTACAAGGCAGGCGGGTTCGCCTCGACGGACTTCGGCAGCTTTGACTCGTCCGTCACGGACAAGTGCACCGGGGACACAGACAAACCCGGACTCCGGCGGATCATAGAAGAGGCGATCGTGAAGGCAATCATAAAGAAGTTCCCGGATGCATATGACTTCAAGAACGTTGACAAGGCGAGGTGGAAAAAGAGGGATCGGGTGTTATTCGACACGATCACACTCCTCACAGAGGTCCTCATCAGACACTCTGGGGATGGGCTAACGTCCGTGGGCAACTTTGCCATCAATTGGACAGTCGATCGCGCGATTGACTTCGCCCTGGAGAGCATCTTTTCGATGTGGGACATGAGGCAGTACTCGTTAGAGGAAGTCCTCGATTACCTCACCCATCTCATTGATGAACCACAGTTCATCAAAGACGTCTTGGAGAGGGTAGCAGCCAAGGCGGAGCGCCTAGCTGACACCATCACTCGAGTATCCAAGGGGCAACATGTCACAAAAGAGGATTCGGAATTCCTCAATGGCGAGGGTGACGACAGAGTCAAGGGATTCAGGTGGGCATTCATTCAGAGGTTCGAAACAAAAGATAAGAAGAACAAGGATGCCCGTGAATCCCTCGGTGTGATGACCTCGTTTATGTATACGCTTGCTGGGATGAGCTTAGAGCCACAGGACCGCACCGGGCGTGTCAGCGCAGAAAAACTCATCGACAAATCGCAACGTATCGAGTACATCAGCCGCATCTTTGTCCCGATCCAGGATGGAAAAGCCATGAGGAGCTTTCCAAAATTGAGGAAGACCTTCGCTGCCGCTACCGTCACATTCAATGTGAACGATCCATTCCTGACAGCTGCAGCAACCAAGATGCTCTCCATTATGATGATGTGTGAGCAGTGCCCGTTACAGTTTCCTTTCTATTCACTCATTTTCCGATTTTATCAACATCAGCTGAAAGACGACACGATCATCACAACAAAAAGGAAATATGAGTGGTGGGAACTCAAGTTGATTTACATGATATCGGATAACGGGCATGACGGCGGTATACAAGCATCTTGCAGACAAGGCCAATGCAAACACATCCCCAGAAATCGCCGATGCAATGCTCGCAGCGCTTGCAGCAGAAACACAACTGGCACGAAAAGATTTAATCTGCCTTATCGACGCTATAACAGAGACCGAAGGGGACGATCGAGGAACCGTCCAAGACCTGGTGCAAAGGTATGTCTCAGTACTACCGCCGGTCTGATGACCGGGCACCAACGAGGCAACAGACGGGAGATCGAAAATCTGGGCGCTGCCAACGCCCAGATGGAGGGCCCTGAGCATGGTACCGAGCCCCATGCTTTCTGCCAGTGGCCAACTAACAGTGAAGTACCGCTACCTGCGTGCGGGAATTTTAGGACAGCGCTATTCCTGGAACTGGGTCGACCTTCTGATGAGCGACGGCCCCGGCAACTGCCGCCGGATAGCGCGCGAAAGCCCGCCTACCCGAAGGGAAGCAGATCCCGAGCAGTATCAGGGTGGGTGTGGGAGGTGGAGTCATGGTGGTAGGCCCCTTGAGCAAGGGCTGAGTCCATCGGCAGGTAAAGCCAGACTCCTCACGCAGAGACAGGCGAATTAACGCCCAGCAGTGGCATGGCACCCACTGTTGACCTCCCAAAAATGAGCTACGCCACGCGAGCTCTGCCCCTCCATGCTTCCGCATGTATACTGAGGGGGGACCGCGGATTCACAAGCATACTGCAAATCAATGCTACTACTTTTCGCTTTTCAGTTTGGCTATCCCCTGGCCACGGCGCTAACGGAAGTGTCTCCGGGTAGCTTTTTTGATTACCACAAACAACCTCTTGTTTTGAATGCAACCAACAACAAACGACCTGGTCACGCGGCTTCCATTCCGAGAGACATGTCCGCTGACCTGTGCACAGATGGTCAGGGGGGACATGAAGGGACATAGAACCTGGTCGACTGTCTTGGGTTGGGGGTGTGTAGATTGACTTGGTTCTTTGTGTTCAAGGGAGCAGAGGCAGTCGTTCCAGGGGAATGATCTGATTAGCCGACTTGTACTCAGAAGCAGCCCTGCGACGCGGATTCGCCCCAGCTGTGCAGGAGGGAAAAAAAAACCCTAAACCCTAAGCCCTAAGCCCTAAACCCTAAACCCTAAACCCCTAAACCCCTAAACCCTAAACCCTAAACCCTAAACCCTAACCCTAACCCTAAACCCTGAACCCAAACACAAAGGCCGACAAAACACCGACAGCAAGACGTGTGGCAAACGAACAAGTAGCCCTAAAACAGACCAAGCCGCCAAGCCCAAACCTTAAGCCTTACAAGCCCGAAACTACAACCCCAGTCCCATTCATAGGGTTTAGGGCTTAGGGTTTAAAGTTTAGGGTTTAGGGTTTAGGGTTTAGGGACGCAGTAGCAGCCGAGTTGGACATGTCTGGCCTTCTGTCCGGACCCTGGGGCGATGCTTTGCGCGCGGCGGCGCCTGGGGCTTGAAGAACCCTGCCTTTCGGGGACCACAGGGTTTAGGGTTTAGGGTTTAGGGTTTAGGGTTTAGGGTTTAGGGTTTAGGGATTTAGGGTTTAGGGATTAGGGATTTAGGGATTTAGGGGTTTAGGGGTTTAGGGGAGTAGGGTTTAGGGGTTTTAGGGGTTTTAGGGGTTTTAGGGGTTTAGAGGTTTAGGGACACCTGGCAGAGTGGCAGCAGGCCAGATGCCAAAGGGGGTTAGGGTTCATATACCTGAACAGGAATGGTAGCATAGGCATATGACCCCAATTTAGGGTCTTCACCTCGTCCCCAAGGTCTTGGGGACGAGGTGAGATCCCAAACTGATCCAGATACCTTAAATGTGGATTGTAGTAGCATAGGTATAGGATCCCAATTTTGGGTCTACTTTCTTGCCCAAGGTATTCATTGGGCTGAAGAGTTCTTTTCTTTTTTTCGGGGGGTGGGGGGGGGGGGGGGGAGTGCTTGTGGCATGTTAGGGCGGTTTGAAGAGGGGGGAGGTTGGTGTTAGCATGTTATCTGCATACCATTCTACAAGTACACAGGCGATGAAGTTGTTGAATTGTTAGGCCACGAAGAAACACATATGGTTGTTACAAGAGATCGAAACCAGCGAGCACTTTTTCGAGCCCTAGTAGAATACTTAGCCCAAATCTTATAGATTTTGATAAGAGGTTTTCTATAGAAGACGCCAGAGACCAGAATATCTTGCAAGACCTGTTTATCGACTTTCGAGCCATGTCTTGAAGGCGTGTTAAGACGTGTTGCATGACGTCTGCACCTTTCACTTGGGCCGTGTTGCATGCTGTTGATCTGAATGGATGGGGGGAGATCAGTGATCCCAGGACGAAGGCGACTGGTGCCCGTGTTTTTTGAATTGCTGTGATGAGGTGCTCGCTGGCACAATAGCGGGCGTAATGGCTAGAATTTCGATACTCGTTTGTTGGTGGTTTCCGTGCGGGTGATGCATCGGGGCTCTAGGGGTAAGAACCGTCGAGCCTGTGGAATGCTGTTGCAAAGCAGCATCGTCATTCATTCTGCTTGGTGATTGCATGTGTGTGAGGGTGTGTGTGTGTGTGTGAAGTGACTTCTGATGCGGTTGTTGGGTGGGTGAGGTTGGGTAGTTTGACCAAAGACCATTTTGCTCTCAACAGTTTCAATCACCCCGATGGATGGTAGCACAGCCCGCTCTGCGGCTTGGTTGTGTCGAGCCTCGGGATAGGGAGCGGAGTAGTGCAGTGCTATTAGTTGCAGCTGCTAGGCGGGAGGCAGGAACAAAACCTTGAACCCTAAACCCCTAGCCCCAAATCCTAAAGTCCTAACCCCCCCCCTAACTTTCCCCCCCCCCCCCCCCCCCAACAAAAAAAAGGTCAAAAGCAATCAAATCCTATAAGCCCTACCTGATCGGCGAGGTTGTCTATGAACGGCAAAACCCGCACTGGAGCCGGGAGCCGCGCTTCGCGAACAATGGCCCGGTGGGCCAGGCCTGACATTTTTGCGCACGGCTTGCGTCGTGCCATTTTTGGGGGGTTTAGGGCCGTTTAGGGTTTAGGGTTTAGGTGTAGGGTGGACCAGACCAGTGGCAAAAAGGTTTAGGGTGTTTCTAAAAAGTATGATGATGATGATGATGACCTCACTCTACCATTGCACCAAGAGAATCCAAGAAGCTCACCAATATGTGCCAGAGTACTCGGCAACCGGGTTCACGAGGGTTTACTGGTTTCCGGTTATAGGGTTCGGGTGTATGTTCGGGGTATTTAGGGTTTCAAGAAGGATGTTTCGGGTTACGTTTTAGAGTCTCAGGGATTCCTCCAGGCTGTTTGAGGACTTAAAGGGAATGAGTGCGTAGGGCTTTCTTAGGGTCTTTTACAGGGAAGGGTGTCTCTCTTAGGGTCGTTTAGGGTCTAGCGTTAGGGTTTAGGGGGTTGCAGGGTTCCTGAGCATGCGAAAAGGCAAAGCTACGAGAGCGCTGTTCTTGAGGGAGGGGGATTGAAGGTACGTAACCCAAGGTTCCCTGATACTCCCCACTACTCCCCAAGGCTCCCTACTTTCTAAGGGTTGCTATGCTTCCCGAAGGTTGCCTAGGTGGCTACCCCCCCATGAATGCCTTTTCATTTTCCCTTTTTTTGGTTCAAGGTTCCCTTATAAAATATACGACCCAAAAAAAGGTGCCCTTATTGTAATATGGTCACTGGGCTAGCAAGAAACGGCACTGACAAAGGGTCTGAGGGCGCGTTGCCCGCGTCCAGAGCATAGTTTTCTCAGCTAGGCAGGTCACAAAAAAACAAGACTTTTGCCAACCCTGAAACCTTAAACCAAGCACTCCTATCTTCTATAAGCCCTTAAGGCCTAAACGGGTATCCTCTGACCCTAAACCCTAAACCCTAAACCCTAAGCCCTAAGCCCTTAGCCCTTAACCCTTTGAGCCCTAAACCCTCAACCCTTAGACCCTAAGCCGCCTGTCAGGTGATCGAGTTTCTCCACGAACGCGGCTCTTCGGCCACCTTGGGTAAGGTTTAGGGATTGGGGTTTAGGGTTTAGGGTTTAGGGTTTAGGGCTTAGGGCTTAGGGCTTAGGGCTCAGGGCTTAGGGTTTAGGGTTTATAGGGTTTTGAAATCCCTAAACCCTGAACCCCAAAGAAGGGTTTGGGTTGAGAGATTCCTGGTGAAAAAGGGTTGTGGGGTGTTCAGGATGTTTTGGGTTAAGGGGTTTGTTGTTTAAGGTTTAGGGTTTAGGGAGAAACTGTCTACGGTAGGGGTGTCCTGTGTATGGAGGGTTTGAGTGGACCCTGACTTATTCGGAAACACCGGAACGTCTGTTAGAATTTGAAGTGGGTGGGGGGTGGGGGGGGGGATTTGGTAGGTTGGGGTCTTAGAGTACCCTAAACCCGAAACCCTAAATTTGGTGTTTCTCCACTACACAGCTAGCCGTCTGACTGACCGACGATGGAAGATTTTTCTTCGCAATCGGTATAGCCTAACCTTGCACCCAAAACTTTCAGGCCCTAAACCTTATAGACTATAAACTCCGTAATCCTATAGCCCTAAATCCTGAACCCGAAACCCGACAGACCATAAACTCTATAGCCCTAAACCCGGAACCCTAAACCCTATAGACTCTAAACGCCATAAGCCTCTAGCCTAGGATGGCTTTTGTAGATGAACTTTTCCTTATTTGGGTTTATCAGTTGCCCTACGTATGTATGTATATATATATATATGTCAAAGTGTTTACAGGCCAACCCAGTATCCCTAAAACCCTAACCCTATGCCCTAAACCCTGAACCCAGTATCCCGAAAACCCTAAACCCTGACTCTCAGGTTTGGGGGCCTTCGCCTCTGGGCATTGCATCCAGGGTTGTGGGAGTTGGGGTTTAGGGTTTAGGTTTTAGGGCAGAGGGTCTGGGAGTTTCGGATGTACCGCAGGGCTTGAATGGGCTTTGCAAGCGTGTGCCGCCTGCTACATCACGGCAATAACTGGCAACACAAGGAAGATAGACCCAAGGACCCTTCTAGAGTTCTAGGGGAGGGTCACATCCTCAACGCTGCAAGTCCACAAAGTGGGAGGTGAGGGTTGGTGCGCTTTAGGTCCCCACCAGCGCTGTGGTTCCTGGAGCTGGTAAGCTGGTAAGCTGGCTTGCTTGCTTGTGCACATGAGTCTACAGAATATTGAGCATGCTTGTAATGTAGGAAGCCGCAAATAGGCAATGTGGGGGACTAGCCCCTGTGCTGGTGCTCCTCTCAGTAGCCCTACTAAACTCCTCGATCTCACCCTTGATCATCTCTGTTATTAAGGACTGTTCGTATAAGGGGGAACATCCCAAGTCGTCGGTGTGAAGCCCCTGACACGAAGCCTAAGACCCTTGCTGGTTCTGAGTAGGAGATGAGGGAGTTAGGTGCCTTGTACCCCTTTAGTCTAAGCCCTTTCAGGGTTTCTAGAAGGCATCTCACTCCTTCCTTCCCTACCAATTGCTTAAGAAGCCCCCAAGAATATGCAAAAAACAATTCTTCCTTTATAAAGGGCAATAGATATTGGGATT